GCCGGGCCGGGGGCGGCCCCCGTTGGGGGCCCGCCAGCCGCAGCCCTATTTAAGCGCCGGCCGCAGCCCCTCACATGATGGGAGTGTGACTGCCTGGGCCTGAGCACCAGGCTGCGAGCAGGATGGCGCTGAGCAGAACGTGGCTCTCCCGGCCCCGCGGGGTGGCCGGCAGCGGGGAGAGCACCCAGCTGCTGCCCCAGGTAATGGCAGGACCCCCCGGTCCCCTCCCTCGGGACCCTCAGCCCACGCTTCTGCCCCACGCACCCTGGGTGTTGGCTCCACGCCGGAGCCCGCAGCACCCGCATCCCTGGGGGTCTCCATAGGGATGAATCTGGGGGGTCCCTGTTAGGGGCAGGGTCTCTGGGAGAGCACCCACCTGCTCAGACCCCGGGCGTCTCTGTGACAGGCAGGGTTACGGTGTGGGGGGTGGATGTGGGGTGCCCTGCAAAGGTGAGGCATGGTGGCTCCGGGCACGGTGGCTCCTGGCATGGTGGCGTGGGAGCCTGTGACAGCCCCAGGCTGCGGGGAGGGGGGGACACAGGCTAAGGGGGGGGGACTCCTGGGGGTCTGCCCCGCTGGCTGCGAGCAGCTCGTCTGTCCATGCAGGCGTCCAGGCTGGTGGAGCTGCCCTACTCCTCCTCCGATGATGATGACACGGATCTCCCTGCGGCCGAGCAGGACCCTGCGGCGTGGTGCCACGTCCCCCCCAAGCCAGGCACATTCAGCCAGTGCGTGCGGTACCTGGCCTTCCTCTGGAACCTCCTCTTCCTCCTGCTGGGCCTGCTGGCCCTGGCCGTGGGGGTGTGGGGGCTGCTGGCCAAAGGCTCGCTGGGGGGGGAGCGCCTGGCCCCACTGGGCTCTGACCCCATGCTGCTCTTCGTGCTGGTGGGGCTGGGGGCCAGCGCCGTCTCCCTGGCCGGCTGCCTGGGCGCCCTCCGCTCCAACCCCTGCCTGCTGCGCTTCTTCGTGGGGGCTGTGCTCGCCTTCGCGGGGCTGGAGTTGCTGGGGGTGCTGCTGCTGCTGGCAGCGCGACACCGGCTGCGGGATGCCCTGCGGGATGCCCTGCTCCTCTGCCTCCTACGCTACCAGGAGGAGCCCGACCTGCGGTTCCTGGTGGACGAGGTGCAGCAGAACCTGCGGTGCTGTGGCCTCGGCTCCTATCGTGACTGGGAGAACAACCCGTGAGTCGAGGCGCCGGGAGGTGTAGCGGGGGGGTCTGACCCCACACCGGGGAGGTGCGTGGATCCGGCAGCTCTCCTTGTCTGTCCCTGCAGGTACTTCAACTGCAGCGCCCCGGGAGTGCAGGCATGCAGCGTCCCTGCCTCCTGCTGCCTGGACCCCTGGCAGAACGGCACCGTCGCCAATGCCCAGTGCGCTTTCGGGGCCCTGCGCCTGGGGGACGTGGCGGCCAGCACCGTCGTGCATCTGGGGGGCTGCGTGGCACAGCTCAGCGCCTGGCTCCGCGGCCAGGCGGGCGGCATCGTGGCCACCGTGGCCGTGCTGGTGCTGGTTGAGGCCACTGGTGTGCTCATGGCACTGAAGGTGCTCGGAGACATCGTGCCTGTCGGGGCACGGGATTGAGGGTGTGCTGGCTGCCACCCGCAGTGGGGGACACTGTGGGGTTGGGGATGTGGGGGGACTGATCCAGTCCAAAATAAACCTCATCAGAAGCCTGAACCCCATCCATGTCCTGTCCATCCCACCCTGCGTCTCGGGGAGATGCTTTCCATCCACGTTCCTGCCAACCCCAGACCACGACACCAGGCTCTCGCACTTGTTCTGGGTTTTAATGAGCATTTCTCCAGGCTGAGCCCCGCTACACAGACGGGGCGGCTTCTACCTACGCAGCGCTATGGGGCGGGTGGGCAGCAGTGGCCATGGCCTGCCTAGATGATGCCGTACTGAGCCAGCTCATGCAGCTCCAGGTGGCTGAAGGCTTCCCAGGGACAGATGACGGTGATGTCTGGGGAGAGGAGAGAGGCTGTGTCAGGGTGATTTCCCCCCCAGCCCGGCTGCGGGCGGCTGTGCCTGCAGCGAACCCCGCTCCCCACCCACTGCAAAGGGGGGACAGGACCCCTGTACCTGTTCCCAGCCCCTCCATGCCTGGGATGTCATCGCCAAACCTGCAAGGAGAGAGAGAGAGCGTCTGCCCTGACCCCCGGCCAGCCCTCACCCACCCCAGGCTGGCGCGTACGGCCGTGTCCCCCCGTCACCGGGACCCTGCCCCACTCACCCTTGCACCCCCTTTTTGGGAGGCTTGCTTTTGAACTGCCTCGTCTGCCTTTGCTTGAATTTGGGTGGTCCCTTCCGGGGGGTGGCGGGTCCCCCGGTCACCCTCGTGGCTGATTTGATCTCTGGCTTGGGGGGCTCCAGGCTCATGGCTGTGCCGGGGCCGGCAGCCTGCCCCGGGTCGCGGTTGTCCCTGCGGGTCCGGCGCTGGCACGGTACAGCTCCTCACACCTGATGGAGGGGAGATGTGGGGGCACCAGCTTCTCCTACCACCCACAGGCACCCTGTGCCCCCGCTCCCACCCTGTCCTGCCCCGGGGCCCCTCGGCCGTCACTGATCGGCTTTCCAGACCGGCGCAGAGGAGAGCCCCCTCCCCGCAACCTTGACTTAGCCCAGCTCAGAGCCCGCTAATCCCCTTACCCCAAAGGCAGGGAAGGGCGTCCCCGGGGGCAGCAGAGCTGCTGCCTCCCCTCGGGGCCACTCCTCCAGCCCCGGCGTGGATGTGACACCCGGGGACCCCCTCGCCGGCATTGCCAGGAGCCCCCACCGTGGCTCGCACCGGCGTCTGTGCTGAGCCGTGTGGGTTGGCATCGCTGCGGCCACAGGCATGGGAGCAAGGCATCCCTCAGGGCTCGTTTGCAGCGGGGTGGGTTTCGGGGACGGTGGTCACCCCGGGCTGCAGATCCCTCAGGACCTGCACTGGGATGCGGGGGGAGCAGAGGGTGGCAGCGGAGGCGGACATCGCAGGGTAGCGCATGGGCTCCGTCCCGCTGTGGTTGTGCCTCCTCCGGGCACAAATGTGGGAGTTTTGCGGCACAAAAGATGGCTCTGGCATCGGTGCAAGGGGGTTCGGCCCTGCTGCGGAGCCCAGCAGCTGAGCACGGGCCCCAGGCAAGGGGGACCTGGCCCTGGGAGGTGCCAGAGACGCCGCTCCTGGCTGTGGGTTACAGGAGCGGGAGGCAAGAGCAGGCTCCGGCGTGGAGCAAAGCAACCCCCTGCCCTGGGAGCCCTGGTGCCACTGGGACCAGGTCCCATCCCGCGCATGGAGCAGAGCCCCCGACTTACACAGCCGCTGTGGTCCCCGAAGCCAGAGCTGCTCTGCAAGAGACCCTCCGTCCCACTCCTGCTCTGCCGGCGCGTGTCCTATAGATGCTCTGGGTGGCTTTTAGGTGAGGGCAGATTTATCCTGCTCTGGGGTAATAGGATTATTGATGTCCCTTCTTTTCAAAGGGGTAATCTGATGTCCTTCCCCCGGCTCTGCCGGGGTGGGATGGGGGGTGGGGTGGGGAGGGGTGTCTGGATTAGTGCCGCTGGGACTGACGGTGCCAGGACCGGCAGCAAATCACCCACAGGGGGATCCTGCCTCATCTCCCGAAACCACCAAGCATCTCTCCTGGGGGACCCCCCCACTGCCCAAGAGATCACCCTGGTGCCCCTCGATCCCAGGGGCAGGGACGGCACCCCCAGCCTGTGTGGGACCACAGACCTGCTCTCCATGAGGACCTGCGAGCCGGGAACCAAACACCCTTGGTGGGTTGACCCCAAAAGGGCAAGGCACTAATGCAGGCAGCCGCAGGCAGGCTGTGCTGGGAAATACCGGCAGCAGAGCCCATGTGGCTGAAACCACCGGGACACGCCGGGCTTTCAGCCTGTGCCCTGTGCTTGGTGCTGAGCACCGTTGGGTCCCCAAAGCGAGGGCTGTGGGGTGCTGCCGCCGGGGCTCCTGCCTGCAGGCGCTGCCAGACTCCAACCTGGCCCCGGTGGAGGTCCTGGCACAAGGGCTGCCCTCCAAGCATTGTCCCTGCCGGTGCCACCACGGATGCCTTCACCTGGGGGACAGCCCGAGCTGCTGTGGGCATGGCAGGCCAAAATCTGGCAGAAGAGGCAGAAAATCTGCCCAGCAGCCCCGCTCTC